AATGAAAAATTCCTCTTTATCTTATAAAATATTACTGTAAAACTATTTCTAAAATTTTAAGTAAAATAATGACATAATTGAGATATAAAATTACATTTAACTCTTCACTGACAACTGAAATTAAATACAGTTGACAATTTTAATAATATTTTTAGACAAGGTTTCTTTTTTCATATTATAATTTGTTCTGGTCATAATGAATAAGTTTTAAAGAATACATCTTAAAATCTTGATACACATTTTCATATTGACAACCATTAATACCAAATATCAATATCAACTGTCTTTATAAAACCTTAGATCTTATAAAGACAGTCAGGTAATGCAAATACCTTTATAAAGAAAGTCAATGCACCAGATAGTATTAAAACTTTTACAAATGCCAAAACATGGTTTTGAAATTGCCTTTTCTCTAAGTGATAAAGCTTTACTGCAAAAGAAAACATCTATGCCAAAGTTAAAAAGAGATCAAGTAGGCCCAATTAGTTGTCTTGGCTGTATATTGCTTTCTGGATCAAATCATGTATAATCAAGTTCTAGTAAAAAGGTAGGGTCTAATTTGGTTGTTTTTATTGCTATTGTTATACTCTGTTGCAATTAGATCTCTTTCTGATTCATTCTGCATGCCAGCCAGATGTGAACACCATGAAGGCAGAGAACAAAATTAAAAAAAAGTTGTTTTTTGTGCCTAGGCTACAAGCATCATGCATGGTCCATGAAACAAGCCCATACAATGAAAGCAACACTGGCCAATCACATTCCAAGTGGAAAAAGAGATGCCCCTGGGGACTGCCAGATCTGCTTAAAAGTATGCCACCTATAATGGCCACCAGCAGTTGTGAACCATCAAGCCCCACCTGCTGAAACACAGGATACTGCTGCTATCACTGTGATGGCCACTCCTCTCGACATGTGACTGTCACCACTGCCATGCTTGACTAATTACCTGACTCTTTTCACATGGGATCCAGCAGAATACCATCTCAACATCGACAACATCAGCTACAAGCTTTCTTCCTCTTTTCACAAGGACTACAGCATCCATTATGATTTATACCATCAGCACACCTAATTCCATCCAATGCCATCACCTCAACAAACCCAACAGACTACAGCAGCCATTATGATTTATAACATCTTCCTCTAATTCCTCATTGCCAATGCCATCACCTCAGCAAACCCAACAGACTACAGCAGCCATTATGATTTATAACATCTTAACATCATCACCATCCAGCTACACCTAATTCCTCATTGCCAATGCCATCCTCAACAAACCCAACAGACTACAGCAGCCATTATGATTTATAACATCTTAACATCATCACCATCCAGCTACACCTAATTCCTCATTGCCAATGCCATCACCTCAGCAAACCCAACAGACTACAGCAGCCATTATGATTTATAACATCTTAACATCATCACCATCCAGCTACACCTAATTCCTCATTGCCAATGCCATCACCTCAGCAAACCCAACAGACTACAGCAGCCATTATGATTTATAACATTTCATAACATCTTAACATCATCACCTCCAAATCCACAGACTACAGCACCCTAAATTCCATCACCATTGCCAATGCCATCACCTCAGCATAACCAACTTGCTACAGGCATTCCCTTTGTAGTCATCCCCGCGACCACATTTTGTAGAAACACATCAGCTATATCAATCCCTCATCCTCTTAGCATATTCATCTCCACAAGCAACTCCAACTCTACAAGCATGTGACCCCATTTCATAGAACATAGGCCTATCAACTACACCTCAGCAACCTATGCACCCTATCATGAATCGACAACCACCGTGACCCTTATCAACCAACACGGGCATCTGACACAACCAATGACTATATCCTGTGACCGTGGTCAAACCAACCCAAGAAATCAGTCAACTCTTAGCACTACCCTTACACCTAATCACCATCCTGCCGATCAGCAACAGAAATTGACATTTCACCAATTTTCCCACAACTCTGTAAGGCACCTTATGTATTAAACAAATACACATTGTTCAAAAATCTAATACTCATTATTACTTTCACAACCAACTGCTTATTATAAAACTATGTTTCAGTTACAATATACTTAGGTCATTGTCTTTGATTATCTGTTGCATGAAGGGTTGAATAAAACTCTTTATTTCATCCAAGAATGCAATTTACTGTAATTATACTCTACATTTTGTCACTTTCAGAATTTTTCCTTTGAAATTATCACCTTCCTCCTGTTACTTTGGGGGCTATGTCTCACTCTTTTCCACTGCTTTTCACCCCTATAGATCAGCATCTAGCTCTTTTTTTTTAATTAATGAAATAATAAATATTAATAAGAAAAAGTACATGTTCATTTCTTCTGATGTGGTATATCCCTTCAAGACGTGAGTGATAACCACTCTACCATCCATTTACACAAGCTCTCTATGTAGGTTACTCACTGTTTTCCTCTGACCCTTTTGCCTTCAATAATTTCATATGAGCATCAAATTCCTTATTCCTCCTTATGTGTCTCAGAAATTACAACTCATTCTGATTCTAATTGTGTTTTTTGTCTCTATTATTCTTAAAACTCCTTGTTATTTGCATGCTGAGTCCATGGTATTCTTAACATCCTTCTGTAGAACCACATTTCTGCTGTCAGCTCAATTCTCTTTATTTGTGATGAGATTGTCCTGCATTCACTGCCATATAGGAGAACTGATATTGTATAACAATTCTGCAAATGTTAAATGCACTGAAAAAGTGATAAATTGGTAACTGTGGTTGCCACTCTGCTTTCAGTTGAACCAATGTACCCCTGTACTGGTAACTAAGGGAGTGAACTCATAAATTCCATGAAATAAGTAGTAGTAGTAGTAGTCACTGGCCACTCATATTTGAGGATACCTGCCTATTAGGGCAGCTAGCCAATCCCTATTGCAGACGCTTGCTCAGGCACATTTGTGTTTATTCAACATCTACAGAGCCCACCTGTGGTTTATACTGCAACTATGCTGAGCAGACCTTAGTTACAGTCAAAGTAATGGCAATATCAAATAAATAACTGTCCTTTTGATACACCATTTTTTGTAGGCATGAAGGTTAAAAATTGCCAAAAAAACTTTATATAAAAATTTTATTCCCTATCAAATCTAAGTTCTAGTGTCAAACACAAAAACTTAGTAGGAATAGTAAGTCATAATAGGTGTATATCACAAAACAAGACTCAAAAAGTTTAAAGGAAACACATTTATTACACAAGTACGAAAAAGGTACAAATAAAAAATTTCCTTCCGTGTGCCTATTAAGGCAAGATAACATTTTCTGATAAAATAATTAACAATGAAAAAAGTAAAAAATTACAGTTTCAAAAAAGACAAAGATTTTGAAAAAGACAAAAAGTGTAAACAATTCAAGAAGGCAGTAGTAAAACAAACATGCAACCATCTTTGTTGAGAAAAAATGAAAACACCTACTTTTAATTGTCCCACAAGCATCTCTGAGATATAAAGTAAATTTTGAAAAGTTTCTTTTAAAATCATGCTGTTCATGCTTGGGAAAATTTCTTTAAATTCTTTTTTGATTCTTTGTTTTCCAACCACAGGTGAGGTTTCACTTGAACTTTAAAATTCTTTAGTCTCTCTGCAACTGGCTGGTAACTGGTGCATTTTAGATGCTCTCTTCTTGATGTTAATTGTTGATTTACCTTGTCTCATGGCTGTCAAAACATCTTCTCCTCACATCTACTAACCTGAGTTCTATATACTTGGTAAATTAGGCTCACAAGACTTCCCCCAACCACCACCCCATTTGGTTTGTTACTAGAGCCTGAGACCATGTCTCTCATTGGTCTGTATATACGAAAAAGAATTTTCCATAAACTGGAATAGGATCCTTCACAAATTAAAGGAGTTTTAACCACTGAGCTGAAAAAGATATACAAATGTAACAATTTTTTGCACAAACTGTCTGGCCTACATAAAAAATACACTTCTCTCAAAAGGTGTGTACTAAAAAAATAACCTAGATGATTAAACATTTATTCAAGGCTAATATTTTTAAAGTATTAAAATTGAAATTTTTGCATTTAAGCAAAAGTTGATTTTTATAACAAACAAGCCTTTGTTGTTTTGCATCTTCCTGCCTATATTGCTTGCAGAGGAGATGTACATCACCAGCCTATCTGAAAACCCACTAAAAGAACTATAAGTAGGAAGAATCTAAGTAATACCAGTGCCTCAGGTGCCCCTTCCCCTGAAGATTGAAGCAAGGAACTGATGATGATGACCCACATCCATTTCTCCTTATTTGACCTTGTGCCAAACTAAGTTGACTTTAGTCAGTATCAGCATTAGTAGATTATGATGATTTCATAACCAAAGTCTCAGTGACTTTTAAATAAGTGTAAAATATCAATACTTTACCATAATGATTTTAAGGCAAAGAATGAAGATTTTTTTTGCCAATGAAGACTCCTGTTTATGTCCTTATTAATTTTGACGGTCAAAACCATGAATATATTTTGTCCAATAATAAAAACACATCAATTCTGGCATTTAATACAAAAATCTTCTCACTATCTTTGGTTTTTGTCTCCTCCTATAATTCCTGATTTTGATGACTCATTAAACAGTCAGAATGAATACAAGACAATTGAAAGTTCAAGTAATTTTCTGTGTCTGGATAAAAATAAAAGAAATGGTAGTAAATCAAAGGGGATTAATTTAGGTTTTGCTTTTTATAGCAAAAATACTTTATTGCAGCAAAGAGAGGAGGGAAAGTTCATCTCAAAAAACTTTTCATCACATTTAATTCTTCTCGCCAATATTTTACTTCAAAATAACTGCTTGTTTCCTCTCATCTCTTTTCTCTTATCCTTATTTCCTCTCATCTCTTTGCCTCTTAACAGAAACATGATACTCACCATGAGCAGTGACTAAGATGGCCTCTTTCAACAAAATTCGCTTTCCATCAACATTTTCATAACTGCTCCATCCTGTATTGTAACTAAAATACTGCTCTCCAGATTTCACCACTAAAAAACAAAATTATTACAAAATCAGTGTTGTGTAAATATATATATATATATATATATATATATCTGGAGAAAGAGAGTGATGCTCTTTGAACAGTCATTTTTCTGACTTGTTGGATTAAAAGACGATAATCACAGGTGGCAAGATACTGTATTACTGCCTGTTGCCAATACTTACAGGTGGTGCAATATTTGAAAGGATCTTCTTCTTTCCTTGATGACTTTGATATTTGAAAAAACATATTCTTCTTGCTCCTATCATCATATAATTATCTTAGCTACATATACTGAAGGTTGCTTTGAACTCCTTGCATTTAATTCCATTTCTCCTATTTCTTTTTCATAATATGTTCTATTAATAAATCACTTAATATTTGTTTGTTTAAATTCCATGTGTTGTTTTTTTAATTTTGCCTGGTCTCACATTAGTCTTCCAATATTGTTTGCATGTCAAATGTACCAGGAGCATTAAACATTTATTAAACAACATCCACAACTCATCAAAAGTGTTGAATCTCACAACAGGCAATAACAGAAATTTTGTGACATAAATATAGAGTGAGGAGAAACAAATATTCATAAACATGCAAATCTTTAATTTATTGTATTTCCAACAAATGAAGAAACATACTTTTCATATAATTAACTATACACAGATGCATAATAACTAAATATACATAGAAAAGAGAAAAAAATTTTGATTTAATAAAGATAAGTCCCACTTGTCCATTTTGTCCATTTTCATTTTAATATTTTGTAGAAAAAATTATCTACAGCAACCAATAGTTCCCAAAAGCAAATTTACATATTTTATTCCATTCTTCTTTGCATATGGTTTTTAGATCTGGGAGGTTTGTTGGGGGTCTCAATTGGATTTGAATTTTCATAGACCACAGATTCACAATTGGGTTTAAATCTGAGGGATGACTTGGCCATTTCAGGATATTTACATTATTTCCAGCAAGCTATTTCTTTGTAGATTTTGCTGTGTGCTTAGGATCATTATCTTGTTGAAAGATCCAATCAGAAGGAAGTTCAAGATTTTCAACCTAAAAGATTAAATTTGCTTCCAAAATATTTTGACATGTTGTGGCATTCATTCTACTACATTTTACTGATATGTTGTCAGTACCTTTTGCAGAAAAACATCCACAAACCATGATGCTGCCACCACCAAATTTCACTATTAGGACTATGTTCTTTTGTTTGAAGGCAACATCATCTTTCCTCCATACATGATTTCTAGAATTACATCCAAACAACTCAATTTTGGTTTTGTCTGTCTGTAATACACTTTCCCAATACGATTTTTCCTTATCCTTATGTTCATAAATTAATTTCAACCTGCTATCTCTGTGCCTTTTCAATAGCAGTAGAGTTTTCCAAGGGGAGCATGATGGTTCCTATGAATTTTATTGCTTATTGTTCATTTAGTGACAGAGATTCGTGATGAAAGCAAATCCTCCTGCAACTCTTGACAAGTAACCATTGGATTTTGTTTAATTTGACGCATTAATTTCCTGGAAAATCTTGAAGAAATCTTCCGTGGAGCACCCGTTCTTTGGTTTTTGAGTTTTTTATATCTTGCAATGAATTAGCTAATAGTAGTAGATAGAATATTCCAATTGTCTGAGATTTTCCTGTAATTTTTTCCAGAGCTTAACAATCAGTTCTTTTTGCAAAATTTTTCAATTCTTTATGTCGTGCCACAATGAAAATCCTCTTGCATGAATATCAATTACAGAATATTCTTTTTGTATTTTTTAGGCCAAAAATAACTACTGATAACATTATTGGAACATTCTAGAATATTCCACTTGAATAATATAGAGTATTAAAGCAATTATAAGTTTTAAAATTTGAAATTTGCATTGTACAAATACTTTTTTCACCCATTATATAGAAATATAAAATAGATAAATAGGATTTATTTCTATTAAATCAAATTTTTTTTTCTCTTTTCTATGCATATTTAGTTATTATGCATCTGTGTACATTTAGTTATATGAAAAGTATGTTTCTTCATTTGTTGGAAATATAATAAAATAAAGGTTTGTATGTGTATGAATATTTGTTTCTCCCCATTGCATATATAACTGGGGAACAAAGGTATTTCCCCTTGGATTATTATTCTTCCAAATAAAAACAGATAGCATCTTGGTTTCAAGCCTAGAAACATGCATGCATATCTTGAGTTGAATAAAGCTTTGTAATAGAAATTCTTCTGTAAACATGGAATGTATCTTTTGCCCAGACAAACTTGATATGGAGCTGAAGTCGTTGGTTGCCAAAAAGAAATATTGCTACTAGTTTAATAAATAATTTATCTGTTGTCAAATAAATGCACTACTTATCTGATAAAATCTCATGGACATTTAAAATTTTTTAAAACCAAATTCTTTTGTCCTCGTCTCTGTGATGATTCATCTGTTACCACTTTCATCATTTGATTAAGTCCAGAGGAAAGTGAATTCCTGTATTTACTCCCCACCCTTCACAGTGGTCAAAAATTGCCCAGTCCCTATGACCACTTTCATGCTGACATTTGTATCGACCAACCCTCCCTCTTTAGTGCAATGAGAGAGGTGCTGCTGTATAGTTGGAATACACAGGACTCCTCAAAACTTTTTGAGAAATGTCCAAAGACAGAAACACAACAAAGAGGTGAAGAACAGATATTACACTTTGATCCCTGACTGAAAGGTGGGTAAAAGTGGTCAGAGCAGGTGTCAATTCTAACTGGACAAAGTCCTGCTCATTTGGAGCAATTTTACCCTGACAATTTACAAATTCTTGTTGGTCAAAATTTACTAGTTTATTCATTGTAAGCTACAGTATTTTAAGTTAAAAATCAGAATAGAGATTGAAGGTTTCATAAGTGGTCATAGAAAGGAATCATTACAAAAAAAAACACTCAAAATAAAATCACATATGAGAGGCAACTTTCTCAATCATGTATCTCATTAATCTACTGGAATATCCCGACTTTTGTTTAAATAAACAATTCAAAACCAACAACTATTTAGCAAAAAGGAGACATCTTAATTTTACATCCAAAATCTTCAGAGTTCAGGACTTGTTATCTGAGAGAATTGATGACTTGATTTTGTCTGATTCTCTTCAAATAGGTGGATGTGCAGGTGGTGTAATTGATAGCAGCTTGAAATGAGTAACTGAAGTACTAAGTTCAAATTCAAATTAGCTTTCTTACATTCACATGTAAATACCCTTGATAAAGGTATGAATCCACCTACTCCCAGCTATGGGTTAAATAGTATGAATTGTATCTATAAAAATTATTATTCTCAAAAAAATTGTTAATGCTATATTCACCAGCAAAAAAAAACAGAGAAAATATTCTTACAATACAAAATTTTTTCAGCTTTAAATATCCTATAAATGGTTGATAACCTATAAAAATACAAATCAAAATAATCTCCATATAGACTGGTTTCAATTAATATTCCCCACTTACAGTTCAGGATGAATATTTGATTTACGATCATGAGTCACATAACTCACTAGAGTCATACAGGCACCACATGTAGTTGCAGGCACAGTAGAAGTGGTGTGTCTTGGGTAAGATAGCCCGATGGAGCTCAACCCTCTCCAGGCTGGTTTGAATTTAGAGTTTTCCTTCTCTTAGACTGGTTTCCTGCAAAGGCTATAGAATGCAGTCTACCCTGTTATTTATCCATAGTGAGGGAAAGAGATGGATTTATTACTTTCCCAAGGGTATTAGCACACAAGTGAATGTAATGAATTTGACTGGAATTCAAACTCAAATCCTCAATCCGAGCCACAATCCATTATGCCACCATGCCTCCATCATGAATGTCTGATTATCCAATATCAAATTTTCAGGTTAATAATGGGGATAATTTATGAATAGATATCCAAGACAAGATAAATATGTAGTGACTACTACTATGTTTGCCACGCGTACATTTTTCACAACTGTGATTGGTTAAATAATAAATACTGATTATCACAGGACAAATTACTGATCGTAGTCACCACACTGAATGTTTCCTACCGTTAATTCACAAACATGCTTTTGTTTTAAAAATTTTTCATCCAATCAGATATTTTTTGTGTTCTTTCAAAATTCTCCCGCCTTTGTTCCCGGAGCCTACCGGTAATTATAAAAGCGGGGTTTCATTCCAAAAATAGACAGTAGAATTCAGCAACTCACACGCATCTACACAGACTATTCATTCTACTCACTGCGTACACACAGACACAGAACTTGAATTACATTTCACGATCAGTTCTTTGTGAGAAAGCCAAGTTACCAATAACGCTGTTACAAATAACACACAACTGAATTAACTGTATGTTCTTCTGAATACAACATTCTATTTCAACATAGAACTTTGAACATTCTATTCAAGAAACTTCTTTAATTACATTTATTCTTATTCAAGCTAACAGATAAAAGAGAAACTACTTTTTTCTCCTTAATATTTCACATTACAAAATTGTTTTGTATTTGTTGATTTTAATATATATTTTATCATTGAAACAAAAATCAGTTTTCCATTGTTTTTCCTTGATTAAAAAAATGTATAAATGTTAAATGCTCTTCAACACGCAGCCACATTAATCTTTTCGACACAACCAGCATTTACAAATATATTACTCACAAAGAAGTTTGGTGCCATCAGCTATTTTCAACTGAAAATGTTACCCAATTTTAGTTACAGTTTTAATTCATTAACATAATTTGTGACAAATCTCCTTGCTACCTGAATTTCTGAGATGAGAAGTTATTATTTACAATATTTACCTGCAGTCTATTGTCCTCATTTTTGTTGTTGTTATCACAATGTTTTGGTTATTATACCCTTTGTATATAGATCCAGGTAACCTACAGGAAATTACAAACTGAACCTTTTATTTAATCTACAGGTGCCTCATGTCTAGGGATATCTTTGCTAGTTCTTATTTTTAGTACTTTTTCAGTTATTGCACACCTTGTTTCCACTGAGTTCAAGTTC